GGAGGGGAGGGTTGGAGGGCAGGGAGAGGAGAGATTGGGGTCAAAATAAGGGGGATGCAATTGTATGAGGAATATAACCAGATGAAAATGCATACATTGTGCAAAAATGAAAAATGATGTAAGAAATACATTTAAAAAAAAACAAAGAACAGGAAACCCTCGATACTGAATGCTGGCCTCTGTTTCCCTTAGCCAATGTAAGGAAACAGTTTAATTTGCTGACAAATTGAAGAGGGCTGCAGTCTCATGTCTGAAAGACCATGGCCCTGCTCTTCCGCAGAGGATAGGAGTATTTGTCCAGAGTTACAAGGGAGTAAAGAGGGAGAGGGCAAGGGTCAGCATGTTCATGCTTGCAAACAAGTGTTTGGAGCTTTCGGTTGACACCAGCTTGCTTTCGCTGTCACCTGGTGGTCAGCAATTCAGGTGTTATCTTCCTAGTGATGCTCTTTCCCTAGGGGTGTAAGAAAACAATGTTAAGCCTGGATGGAGGGTGCACTGGTGAAGGAAATTCTATGGGAACTACACCGGGGGCGGGGGAGGGTGGAAGCAAACATTGTTTAAAAATGAACACTGATGTAAAAAAAATACATAAAGAAAAAGAAAAAAAAAGCCTAGAAGGTAAATAAAGGAAATGGGAGAACGTATCTGGTGGGATAGAGACAAGTCCTTCATTGCTGTGTCACCAACTAGGAATTTTTACTAGGTGAGAAGCTTCTTGAGGAGAATTAAAGTGAGTAAGGGACCCTGCACTTGGGGACCATTTCCAAACTAAAATTGGTAATAACAGAATTTGTTGCTATTCTATAAAGATATAGTTGAAAATTGTAGACTGATAGTATATGACAATAGTGCTAGCCTTTCTATTAACGCTAATTTTATCCTTTCTTGGAATTCCTTGAGATGTTCTATTATATTATTACATTCAACTATAAATAATGACAGTTTTGTTTCTTTATTTATAATTATTATGGCTTTTATTTATTTTTCTTAATACTCTGGTGAGAACCCCCAATAGAGCGCTAATGAAAAGTGATAGCATTCTTGTCTGCTTAAAGGAACAATTCTAACATTTTATCATTAAATGACCTTTACTCTACTTTGTTTTGTTTGTACCCCAAAATTTAAATTCTTTTTATTCTAGGTTTGCCTCTTTATCTTCCTCCCTCATTTCCCTTCCAGTTTTCTTTCTCTTTTAAATGATGGAAGGGTGACATCGTTTATTACATCTACTGAGATTGTCATCCTTTCCCCCTCATTTAATTGGCTAATGTTTAATTACTTTCATCAATTTCCAATGGTAGTTCACCCTTGCATTCCTTGGATAAAACCAACTTGCAGATTTGATCTAGGAATTTTGCTTCTGAGTTAGGAATGAGATTGGTCTGTAATTTTTTCTTATACTCAGGTTCAATATCAAAATAATAGCTTGTAGATTGGGTGAGATGGTATTCCTTCCTTGTATATAATCAGGAATATTTTGTATAAAATGGATATATTCAGTTCCTTGAGTTTGTATAATTTTCTAGTAAAAGTATCTTGACCTGGTTGGATTTTTTGTGGGTAGATTTTTAACCACTGATATAATTTCTTTGTTGTTTATAATCTTACTTTGGTTTTCTAACTTTTTGAGTGATTTTTGGTAATTTGTGTTTTTCTGGGAGTTTTCCCAGAAAACTAAGTTTTTGAGTTTATTAGAATAAAATTGTTGAACAGCTTTTGTCATCCTAATCTATACCTTTCTCATTCCTAGTACCGATATTTGAGCTTTTTTTCTGCTTAAACAATTACACCAGTTTGTTTGTCTTTTATTTCCTTATTTTCTTATTCTGTTTTCCTATGTCCTTATAATATATAAAAATAAATATGTACATATGTATAGCAAATATACCTATGTATGTATACATAAAATGTACCTATGTATGTGTACATAAAATACACAACAGAAGCTTGTTTCTCACAGTTCAGGCCCTTGGAAGCCTTAGGTCAGGTGCTAGCCAGGTCAGTTTTTTTTCAAAGATTTATTAATTTATTTATGCATAGAAGAGCTGGGGTGTAGGCCAGAGGTGAGGGGGTATAGGAGAGAGGGGGGAGAGAATACACCAGAGACAAAGTGAGGAGCACAACAGGTGGGTGTAATGAAATACAGTGCTAAGGGGAGTAGCGGGCAAGACAGGAGATGTCTGCTGCGCCATATGTGGGTTAGCTCCCTGGCTGGGGATTGAACTCAGGTTGTAGTGATGATAGAGACTTAATTTCTAGGCCACCAGGGAGGCCACACAGTTTTTGTCTTTCTCTGACTTAACTTGGCATAGGTTTCCTTTTTTTTAAATGTCTGAACAGTATTCCATTGGCTGTATATACTGTGTTTTATTTATCAATGCATCTAGCAAATGACAGTTTGTTTCCATGCATTGGCTATTGAGAATAATGCTTCAGTGAACATAAGAATATACATATCTTTTTGAGTTGGTGTTTCTGTCTTCAAATAAATGCCCAGCAACGGAATTGCTGGGTCATATAGTAGTTAATATTTAAGTTTTTGAGGAACCTTCATATTTTCCACAGTGGCCCATACCAGTTTACATTCCTACCAATAGTAAACATAGGTTCTCTTTTCTCTACATCCTTGTCAAAACTTATTTCTTGTGTTTTTGATAACAGACATTCTAATGTGTCAAATAATATCTCATTGTGGTTCATTCCCAGTTGATTAGTCATGCTGAGCACCTTTTCATGTACCTATTAACCATCTACATGCCTTTGGAAAAAATGTCTGTTCAGATTCCCTGCTCATTTTAAACTCACATTTATTTTCATATTTATTTTTACTAATGGCAGTATCATAATATTTTTCCTAAATGATACAAGACCCTTAAGTAGCTTAATTCCTCTGTTAATTTTTTTTCTCTTAATATTTTTAAGAATGGTTAACAGGTCAATATCAGTATTATACCACCTGAGAGCTTTTAAGAAATTCTCACCCTTAAGGGGACCTACTTTTTAAAAACCGGACTCTTGCAATCTACACAAGATCTAGTAAACACAATATGCATTTTAACCAGATCACCAAATTATTCATATGCACATTATAGCAAACTTTAGAAGCACTGCATTAACAATTTCGTTAAGATAAATTTACTGATGGGAAAAGCTCAGTTTATCTAAAAATGTATTTTACCCTCATTTTCTGTAGTTGTACTGATTAACTGAGAGTGGACAGTTTTTTCCCCCCTCTCAGAACTTAAAAGATAATGTAGTATCTTCTGGCTTCCATTGTTGATAATAAGTTTATTATCAGTCTTATAGTCATTCCTTCCTGGTGATGTTTTATTATTTCTTACTGCTTGCTCACTTTTTGCCACTCCATATTTCCTTAAATATTTCATACCTAGTTTTATTGTCTTTGAAAATGCAGTGCAGCATCTATATATTTCTGCTATTCTCACTTATGATTATTCCTCATATTTGGTGCTTTCTATCAGTCAGGCTCCTTCAGAGAGAGGATCAATAGCATTTAAGGTGAGATATATATACACCCCTCACTCTCCATCCACATACAAAATCTCCTTCTTCTTTGGTATACCCTATCTCAGTGAATGATCATGACAGTTGTATAAGTCAAAAATCTGAAAGTCACCAACACCTCTTTCTTACCACCATACCCAATTATTCTCCAGTACAAATTGATTCTAACGATTAAATATGGAGTCCAGTCTCTTTCCTGTTGCTTTACAGTCTATCCTAGGTATTTTCAATCTCTAGTAAGTCATATAAACACACCTTTTGGCAGCAGCTCTTTCTTTAAGGCTGAAAAACCAGTGGGGTTTCCCTCTGTCCATGGCTGTGGCCCCTGGCTCTGACTTCATAAAGAGCCACTGTGATGGCAACCATGGAGCCTACATAAGCCCTGCCCGGACTGCGGCTGTGTCCTTAGGAGCCAGGAAGCTTTGGGGTAATGACCTGTGGACTTGGACAGAGAGAGAGAGTGTGTGTTTTGGTGTATTTAGTTTTCTTTTGGTTTATTTATTTTTTTACTTATTTAGTTATTTGTTTTAGCTATTTATTTATTTTACTTTTATTTGTTTTTTCTTATTTTCCTTTGTTTATATTTTTCTATTTTTCCTTTTATTTCTTTGTTTTTTATTTTCCTTTATTGTTTTATTATTTGCTTATATTTTTGTTTTTGTCTTTATTCTTTTAATTTTTTATTTCAATTTTTTTTAATTAATTTATTTTTATACAAGAACCGGGGTACAGGCCAGATGTGCGGGAGGGTGATGGGATTCACCTAAGACAGAGCAGGGAGCAGAACAGGCAAACTGAAGAAACACATTGCTGAGGGGAGCAGTGGACGCGCAGGAGAGGTCTGCGCGCCATGTGGGATTCTTGCCCGCCAGCCGGATGGAACCCGCGCTGCAGAGGCTGCGAACAGCTTCACAGCGCAGCGCTGAACCGCCTGCGCCACCAGGGAGGCCCTCAGTTTTTAGTTTTTTGGTTTTCCTTTTTTGTGTGCTCTCTTCCATTTTCCCTTCTGTTGTCATTTCATTGTTCTTTTTCCCCTTTGTTATTTGTCTGTTTTTGTTTTGTTTTGTTCTTAGTTTCTAATTGTTGTTTGTTCTCCTGTTGTTTGTTCTATTTGTCTTTGTTGTTGTTCTATGTTTTAGTCTTATATTTAGTGGTTAGTTTGTAATTCGTTTGTTTTTATCATATTTTTACATGTTTATCTCGTTTGTAATTTTTTTGTTTGTGTATTTTCATTTATTTTTTGTGTGGTTAGTATTGCTAGTAAGGCTAGTGAAGTTAGTATTGCTGGTAGAGTTAAGTGAGCACTGTTAGTAACTGAGCTTAGTGAATACTAGTAATATTAGAGTACTATTAATATTAGATTAATAGTACATTTGTTAGTATCGTAGGCGAGTTAGTTGTTAGCAAGGCAGCAAGGGCTGTGAGCACAGTCAGGGCTGTGAGCGTAGTCAGCACAGTCCAAGTCCACATTCGCTATGCTTAAGCGTCTCACTCTCCAGGGACGTCAAGTAAAAACCCACCTGGTGCTCGGGACACTGGGGGAGGGCGCCCACGCCCAGGTGAGGCTGGCACTGCACGCGCTCACAAGCACGAAGGTGGCGATCAAAACCCTCCGGGAGGCCAAGCTGCGCGACCTCCGGCTCCTGGCGGGTGAGGTGGGGTGCCTGAAGGCGCTTCACCACCCGTGCATGGTTGAGCTATTCCAGGTGGTGGGCACCAGGGAGGAGCTGCAGCTGGTAATGGAGTATGTGGAGGGGGGCGACCTGCTGGACTATCTGAACGAGTGGGGGCGCCTCACTGAGAATGAGGCCCGCCAGATATTCAGGCAGATCATCTCGGCCCTCAGCTACTGCCATGCCAAAGGCATCGCCCACTGGGATGTGAAGCCCAAGAACATTGTGCTTGTGGGAGAGAAGCACATAAAGCTGGCGGACATCGGGCTCAGCGTGCGGTGCTTCAACCACACGCTGAGCACCTACTGCAGTCGCGCAGAGTACAGGGCCCTGGAGCTCTCCCTCCACCAGCGGTATATCAGTCCAGGGTGGACGCGTGGGGCCTGGGCGTCGTCTTCTAGCAGATGGTCACCAGCACGTTGCCCTTCAGGGGGACCAGCGTCGGGGAGATCAGGGAGCGCGTCCTGGGCGGGTTCCTGTACCTGCCCTTCTACCTTTCGGTGCAGTGCCGCGCCACCTGCTCAACAAAATGCTGGCACTGGACTCCCGGAAACGCAGCACCCTAGAAAGTCTCAAGCAGCACCCCTGGGTGGAAATGAGTAAGGGACTCCTGACCTTCGGCGAGGCAATCCTCAGACACCAGGACCCGGCCATAATGAGAACCATGGAATGCCTTGGGTACCAGAGAGAGGTAATCTGCAGGGCCTTAGAACAGAAAAATACCATGATGTCCTGGGAACATACCTGATTCTCCGCTCCAGGAAAGAGGAGGTGGACTATGAGGAGAAATGGTAAGTCACCTTCTGGGAGCCCTTCCCTCACACTGTGCCCCAGGGTGACCGGGGTTCCGAGGAGTGCCTGAGCTTTCCGGGAATACTCAAAGGCCTGCAACACCAGGTTGTGCCCAGGAGCACACCACCACCTCCAGGCCAGGCCCCTGCTGGAGGATTCCCTGGAAAACAAAACCACCTCCGTGCCAGGCCCCCTGCTAGAGGACGCCCTGGAGAATAGCAGACCCTCAGCGCTAGGCCCGGTGCTGGAGGATGCCTGGGAGGAGAGCAGCACCTCCGTGCCAGGCCCCAGCTGGAGGACATCCCGGAAAATAGCACCACCAATGTGACAGGCCCCCAGCCAGAGGGGGATGAGGAATGCAGGACCAACACCACCAATCCAGCCCCCCAGCCCTCCAGCACCACCCTAGGACCTCACCCAAGACGTGGCTGGCACCTCCAGCACCATAACAATGCAGGGGCCCAATTAGGAGGAACCAGCCAGGTAAAAAATGGCAGCCAAGGTGAGAGGGCCAAAGCTTGGAGGGTCCTAAATGCCATCTTGACATTTTGCTGCTGCTGCCCACCATTCGGACCCCACAACAGAGACAAGAACATCTAGCGCCACACCCCGCAGAAGACCCCCGGCCCCACAAAGTGCAGCCGCCCAGTGGCCATGGTAAACAGCAGCACACCAGGGGAGGGCAAGACTCTGGAGAGGGCTCAGGTGCTGGGCCCAGTCAGGAGCAGCATGAGACTCACAGGACTGCAGCACAGAAGTCTGGGCAGCACCGATGTCCCTGGAGCACAGATGTCCCTGGAGCAGAGCAGGTGAAGGGCCAGGGGGGCAATGGAACTGGTAAAGCACCTGGAGGGGAGCAGAGCAGGTGAAGGGGGGGGGCGCTGAGGGGTTGGGGAGAGCTGGGCAGGTGAAGGCCCCGGGAAGGGTGTGGGGCTGTGTGGGCAGAGCCTCCAGACACCCCAGGGCCAGAGGTGGGGAATCCGGGGCCTCTCTTCCCCATCTTAGGCTCTGTGACATCAGGGCCACCCCGCCCCCTTGCTGGGAGAGCCCTGCTGTCGACCCCTGGGCACACGGATGGTGCAGAAACTGCAGGAGCTCTTTTGTCTGAGTGGCATTGTCATTGACTGACAGCCACAGTAGCAAGTCCCCCTGGATTTGGCCCTTTTAAAACTGAAATTCCAGGTTGGAGAATCACTCACCTGCCAGCTAGTGGCAGCTCCTAGGGCCTCCTGGTTTCCTTCTGAGCCTTGTAAAATCAGGAGACAGTCAGAAATGGATTGTTCTGTTAACATGTCTATCCCATGAAACATTAAATCATTGTTTGACACCGACTGCATTTGCTTCTCATCTATGAATGCACCCATACTTCCAACACATGAGTCATCAGGTACCTGTATTTGCTTGAAAAATTCAGAAAGCATTTAGAAAAGTTTACAAAAGTCAGATGGGTCACATGGTGATACCACGGTGACATAAGATAGTGAAACAGACCTACCAATGAGTATGTCATTAGCTATTTGCGCTGAGGTCTTACTATGCCTAATCCTCCATACTACTTTTTAAAAATTAAGTTTGTTGAGAGACTATTGGTTTACAATACTGTATATGTTTCACAGCACAGGGTCACACCTCCACAACACATTATCACACCACACCCACCACCAAGGCACCAATAATCCTCTACCATAGTCCATTGACATTCCCTCCCTTTCTGGCAGCCTCAGTTCTGCAAGTCAGAGTTCAAGGATTTGTTCTGGATAATTTTGTCTGTTTTGTTTATGTTCTTTGCTTATATTTCTTTATATGCCACATGAGTAAAATCATCCAGTATTTGTCTTTCTCATTTTGATCTATTTTGCTTAGCATAATCTCCATTTCCATCCAGAAGAGATGGAATGCTTTATGAATTTGCATGTCCTCCTTATGCAGGGGACATACTAATCTCTGTGCATCATTCCAATTTGTGCTACCTAAAGTGAGCACTATAGTATGTTATTTGTATGATCCTCATAAAATGTGAACATCACTTCTGGATTAAAATTCTTTCAATTGTTCCCCATTTCCTTTAAGAATGAAAATTAAGTGGCGTGTGATTTTTTTTTTAAGATTTATTTATTCATGCATACAAGAACCAGGGTATAGGCCAAATGTACGGGAGGGTGAGAGGATTCACCAGAGACAGAGAGGGGAGCAGAACAGGCAGATTGACCGAAATACACTGCTGAGGGGAGCAGCTGGTGAGACAGGAAAAATCTGCTGCACCACGTGGGTAGCTCCCTGGCCAGGGATAGAACCCACACTGCAGAGGCTGCAGACAGCCTCACAGGGCTGTGCTCAACCACCTGCACCACTAGGGAGGCCCATGTGATACTTTCTGTATAAGTCCTTCATTCACCTTTGCTCTCTACCACTTCCTCCTGTTCTCTGTTCCAGTCACTGCTAATCTCGTTTGACTCCTTCAGTGTGGAGAGTGTGGCATCTCTCTCGTCCCCTGGTCTCTACACACACTGATCTTCTCCCTCCCCATGCAGTCATCTCCGAGCTACTTCATAATCCTCCAGTTCTCAGCATAAAAGTCACCTGCCTCTAAGAAGCTGTTCATCCTTGCTCTACATGCCAATTGCTCTCTCAAACACCCTCTAGAGTCAATCAGATTAGTCTGGAAACTGAAGAAACCAGAGTTAGCACTGTCCATTTTTTTGTGTGTATGAAGTTGTATAAGATGATGCATCTATGAGTTGATGCAATCTAGAAAGAGGGTAAATTTCTGACTAAGCAATGGCAGAAATAATCTTTTAGTCCTACAATATATTTAAGGGTAATGACTTAAAACAGCAAATTCATGATGAAAATTATTGTAATAGGGCCTCCCCTGGTGGCGCAGCGGTTGAGCGCTGGGCTGTGAAGCTGCCCACAGCCTCTGCAGCGCCCGGTTTGATCCCCAGCCACCAGGAGGGTTCCACATGGCGCAACAGACCTCTCCTGTCGCACCCGCTGCTCCCCTTAGCAGTGTATTTCGTCAGTCTGCCTGTTCTGCTCCCCTCTCTGTCTCTGGTGAATTCTCTCACCCTCTCATGCTTCTGACTGTACCCAGTGCTTGTATAAATAAATATTTTAAAAAGTTCTTTATAAAAAAAAAGAAAATTATTGTAATAAAATATTACTCAATAAAAACCAAAAACAGAATCTTCAGTATGGTTTACAGCAATGTGCATAAGATTCCATCTAATAGCATTTATATATACTTAATGTGTCCTCATGCTCCTTTCTTACAATCAATGAATTTAAGTTTCAGCAAGGATACTTTGGTGTCTGGGATATTTTACTGTATGTCAATTATTTAGTAAAGCTTAAATAATTGAAAGTTTATTTTAAAATGAGTTCTCAGTAACAGTATCTTTAATGGAATTAAAGCATGCTCCTTTTGAGAAAATATACACTAAATAATCCCAATACAAAACTTTAATAAAAGTTTGGAAATTTGATGCATACACATACATATGTGAATTTATACACCTATACCTATTTGTATTTGGCAGGAGAGAAAGCAATATCTGAGTATTTATACAGGATGCAAATTGTGACCTAGAGAAATAGAAGCACAGGATATATGCATTATTAGTGCAAATTAAATAAATTAGTTAAAATTTTATTAGTAATGTGGGACCAGTTTACAAATGAGGTGGCAATAGTAGCAAAAGCAGCACGAAGGGAATTGGCATTTAACATCGTCTAATAAATACAACTTGGTGATTCATTAAATATTATGAAACTATAGAGGTTCAAACCTTCTTACACTTGAATAGATCTTTAATTGATATGTTTCAGATAAGCCAAATACTTTAGATAGGTAAGAAATTGCTGACAGGTAAGAAAGTACCTGCTGAAATCATACTTTAAAGGAGTAACTTTGAAAATTTATTTCACTGTCTACAAAAGCTGCACAAATCCAAAATACAAGATATAATAAATAATATATTTCAACAATAATGGAAAATATCAGCCTACCATTTTCAATTTTAGCTGTTCTTTATAGTTCAAATATTTTTTTGTAAGTAAGTTACATATCTGAACCCTAAAGACATGGTAAATATGATCAACTTTCTTGAATAACCTTAATGTGTTTATTTAGTAAGATGCTTTTGGGTGAAATGATTTACTAAAATATTTAGATTTGTTATATAAAATTTATTACATATTCCCACTATTTACTTGGCCTTAGAGATTAGATTTGCAGATGAGCTCTAAAAGTAGTCATAGGTCATTTCTGTCATGTAGCTTGAGACAGAAGGTAATTAATAGATTAATGAACATCAATTTTACAGTAACTTTATCTATGAGAACTAAGATAAGGATCTAAAGATAAGCACACATTCCAATTATTTATTCAATGTATGTGTCCTTTAGAGCTCACACTATTTGTTTTTGTTCTTTATCTTAATAGGATTAGCTTTATTTGATTTTGCGTTAAGGCAAAAGACAGATATCTCCTTTCCTTTGGCTTTAATGAATCCAAAATCTATCTAGGAAGAGGGAAAATAATGTTCATTTCTTAAGAGGTCAACATCAATATTAGGACAAAATTTTTTCTTCTGACAAATCTATGCTGTGTTTGTATTAAACTAAGGTTAAAAATACTAATCCTGAGCAAGAGTAAAAATAAGAAGTTTTGACCAAAGAATGAAACCCTTCATTGTTAAACCCAAACAGTTTAAAATTCAACCATAAAATATAAAGTCAGTAAGGCTAGAATTCAGACTTCTGATATCCATGACAAACCTGAATACTCTGAAAAGAAATCACAACATAGTAGATAATACATCACAGTAAAAAGCATCAGAAATTGATGCTCCTGGATTTTGTTAAATATAACAAAGGTCACTCAGTCCTTCATGGATAAACCTACCCTGGAGGACAGCACTGAACAGTGTATTGCATTGAACAGATCCCTTAGAAAGGCAACACTGGATTCCTTTTCAGATAGGCACAGACCTTCCCCCCCCCCCACCCCCAAGACATTCAAAGACAAAAGACACATTTGGAAATATACAATATGAATCTGTTTCATGAAAACAAAAAGTTCTGGCCACTCTACAAACGGAAGTCAGTCACTCGAGCTCAGCTATGGCTACCCCTCCTGAAAAGCTTCCTACCCAGCAGAGCGGTGTCGTGACAAAATATGTATACTCCAGGGACGGCAGTAAGTGAGGGCTTTTCAACGTGAGTCAACTGAAGTCAAGCTCTACAAATAATCTTCGAGTCCATGACGTGAAAGTGCACATTAGTAGGGGAAAGGCCAGCCCAGCGACGATCCTCTCCCAGCATTAAGGCTCGGCCACACAGGAATGGTCGGCAGGACGTCGCGCAGTGAAGGCTAGGCGAGGGTTTCTCACGCTGAGCACCGCCCTGAGGCTTCTCCAGCCCACCCTGTCCTCTCTTCCGCCTGTCTGTCTTCCTCTTCATCGGCTTCTTCAATGACCTGAATCTCATCAGCCTGAGGTAAAGAAGAATTTTCCACCTGCAGTTTATTCCCGTCAGTTTTACATTTTTCTTCTTCTATGATCTCCTTCCATATCTTGTGGTTTTCCGTGAGGTGATGCATTAGCTGACAAAATAGTCATCGTCTACTTTTCCTCCGTTGTGATTCTGTGAAATGTAAAACAAATATGTTCTAATCATTGTAATACGATTCATTTATTTATTCATTCATTCAACAAATATCTAAGTGCCTAGTATATCCCACGCAGGCTTCTGAGCACTAGGGTTATAGTAGTAAACAGTAAGATAATAATTCCTGCAGTATGGAGCTCATTTTCTAGTGGGAAAGACCTAGGCAATCAAACACAAAAATGAAACATAAGTATGCTAAATGGTGTTCACTATTATGGGTAAGAATAAAGCAGAGAATGGGATTAGGGGGAAATATTGTGAGTGGAAGAGGGGAGGATAGTATTGAAATGTCAAATGATTAATAATGCACAGTTAAAAACAAATATTTTTAATGTATTGAATTTATCACAAGTGTCAACAGTCTAGTGAATATAAATAATTTTTAGAAGGTAGTCAACTTTCCTAAATTGACACTCTGATGGCAGTCACCTAAGATTACTCTTCACTCTGCTAATCTTGAACATAGCATGGTAGGAAAGGGGTAGTTTTTTGTTATCTGTTCCAATTTACAGCAAGCTCGGAAAACAAAACAAAACAAAATTAGATGTAATTTAAATTCTATTTAAAAGAGTAAATACCTGATTCAATTTACACTTACAAAGGTGACAAAAGTTTTTCTTTCCCTTCTACTTACTGCCTTATATAAAAAAGTGTCCTTACAATTGGGTAATTCAAATTCATAATGCCACAAAACATGATTCTCCTCTTAGGGTCAGTGTGTATTTTCTTCCTTCCCACTTATTTTGACCTTTTGCCTAAATCTAGGTGAAGGGCAGGTTATCAGGCTACTGCTTCAGAAGTTGTGCTCTTCAGTCATCTGGTGGGTTGGTGAGAGGGTGGTGTGAGGAGAGGTGAGGTGAAGGCTAGCCACTAGGACTCTCCTGCCTTATATACATTCAGAGGTGCTGACTGCTTTTCATCATCCAAGCACAGGTAAAGATGCTGCTGTAACTAAGAATGCTGGTGTGATGGCATAAGCATGGTGGTATTTAGAACAGTTACTTTAATCAAGGTATGACCACTGAATCTCTACCTTTAGATATAAAAGATCCAAATCCACATTAAATGAACCTTAAGAACATTAAAGAAATCATGGTTTCCCTATATTCTTACTAGAACTTAGGTTATCTTCTATTTCTTCATCTGTATCTAATTGTTCACCATAACTTTCAGTATCATCATCCTCTTCTGCTTAACAACTTTCAATATCATCATCCTCTTCTGCTTCTATCCATGCCCAGGTAGCAAACCAGCAGCATCACAGGAGTTACACAGGGGACCCACTATGTGGGTGATAAACGATTCTTGGAGCTTTGC